CAGGCAGGCAGGCAGGCAGGCCAGGCAGGCAGACAGGCAGGCAGGCAGGCAGGCAGGCAGGCAGGCAGGCAGACAGGCAGGCAGGCAGGCAGGCAGGCAGACGGGCAGGCAGGCAGGCAGGCAGGCAGGCAGGCAGGCAGGCAGGCAGGCAGGCAGGCAGGCAGGCAGGCAGGCAGGCAGGCAGGCAGACAGGCAGGCAGGCAGGCAGGCAGGCAGGCAGGCAGGCAGGCAGGCAGCCAGCCAGCCAGCCAGCCACCCAGGCAGGCAGGCAGGCAGGCAGGCAGGCAGGCAGGCAGGCAGCCAGCCAGCCAGGCACCTGCCCCAACCTCATTAGGAACCAACAGGCCTGTCAGGCGCGCTCCCTGTTTCACGCCTCAAACTTCCACTTTTAATAGACAAATCAGTAGATCTAGGACCCCCCCCCCTTTTTTTCCCCTGTCTCTCCATTGAAAAGAAAAAGGGTCACTTTGAAAATTTTTGACGGGGACGACTCTCGCGATTGGGAAAAATTGGTTGTCAGTAGTAGTACTAAGGCAAGTTATGGTGTATGGGATAATTTTTCAAAATTCGATTTTCGAACTTTGACTTGTTTTCCAAACACAATGTGACACCTCAAATCAGCCCTCGTTTTGTTTTAGTTGTGCCACTCTGAAGCGAAACAGTGGACAAAATCATCACTGCGCTGCGGCACTTCCCAAAGTCCCCTTTGTGATTCGGAATCACTCAACATGACAGTTGCGGTTCGATACGCGTTCTTAGACACCCACCCACACGCCCCTAGCAGCCGCCACCCCCAACGGGTCAGGCAGCGGCGATTCCGGTGGAGCGTCCTGTCTCTCGCTTTCGAGGGGCGTGCCGGCGTGCCTCAGGGGTGCGAGAGAGACAGACTCCCGTCCCACGCATCGATAATGAGAGAGCAAAGGGTGAGGCCATCTGCTCGTTGACTCAACTTACAGCCGAATAATCGGACGCGCCGCTGGACCGCGACCCGACAGTCGCTGTCTCTCTCGCTCCTTCACGGGACGGTGGGGCGGTCCACGAGTGCGACAGAGACAGAATGTCCGTCTGCTGTCGCGGTAACGAGACAGCTGCAGCGGCGGCGAAGGACTCGGACACCTACACGTGAAATTTGGTCGATTCTCTTCGATTCTCCGGTCCGCACGCACAGTGGGCCAGAAGACCGGTGTAGGCGGTCCAACCCTCGGACGCGTTTTGAGCTCCAGTGTCGCTTAATGGGACTCGAACCGAACGTGTGACCCCACCAATGGATTGCGATCCGTTGGTAGGGTCACAAGTCCGGCTCGAGTCCCATTCAGCGACTCTGGAGTTCAAAACGCGTCCAGAGTTTTGACCGCCTCCACCGGTCTTCTGGCCCACTGTGGGACGACAACGGCTTTCTCACTCCAGAAAGGCCCTGTTTGAACCGAGCGCTCCCCTCACCGTAATAGTATCACACTTTCGGTCGCCACATGGCATGGCTAGACATGGCGCCTTGCTTGGCCCGCCCTGGCCCGCCTTACGGTAGACCACGGCCTGCCTGGAGCACCGCGCCGACGGATCCCTCGGGCCAGATACCGCTCCGGGCCGGAAGAAGTTTAGTGCAGCATCCTCTTGTTCGGGGCAACGGACTCGAGATAGGGCGCCTAATCCGAGAGAGATTCAACCGGCCGCCGGAGAGAAACATTCGAACAAACTCTAGACGCGTTTTGAGCTCCAGAGTCGCTAAGCAGGACTCGAACGGAACCTGTGACCCCACCAATGGATTCCTCGTTCGGAGAGCAATCCATTGGTGGGGTCACACGTTCGGTTCGAGTCCCATTTGGCGACTCTGGAGCTCAAAACGCGTCTCGGGTTTTGGCTTGGCCGCCTCCACCGGTCTTCTGGCAAATCCACTGTGCCGCATGATGTGGTGGTGCCGAGTAGTGCGCGGGCTGCACAGACTGCACATAGGCTGCACTGCACAGGTGGCCAGCGGGGCCCTTGATGGGGTAATGGGCGGCCCCGACAGCCCCGCCTCCTGCAGTGCAGGCGCAGGCCCCGCCGCCACAGGGCCGCCGCCAAACCGCTTGCGTGCGGGCCACCCGGGCCATCCACCCGGGCCATCCACGCCACCCGCGGCAAACAGGAAAACAACACACCTTCAAGCCCTTTTACCTCTTTTCCCAAGACCCTGTCACCCCGTTTTCACACCCTACCAAGCGCTCAAATAGCAGGCGGTGATTTTTTTTTAAAAAAAAAACTTAACGCCAGCATCTGCGAAGTAAACACACTGACAAACGCACACTTCTGAGCGCATTTGTGTCACATGGATAAATATACGTTTATAAGCGCGCAGCTCATAGTTTTTACTCGGCAAGTAAACCCAATTTTGCAAAATTTCTTAATTTAAGTCCAATTTTTAATTTATTTTTTTTTGCTCTCACTGTCACCCCCGCGCGGAACCAGCGCGGGCTAATTTTCGGGAGGACGGATTGAAGACGAAGTGGCGACGGCACATGAATCGCGTGTCTCTCTCGCACCTGCACTGTACGGGACGCACCACGAGTGCGAGAGAGACGCAGGGCGATGAAGACGACCCTCGGAATCAGTCTGCAGCTCGGAGGCGGGGGCGGAACCGAGGATAATAGATATAGAGGGAGAAAAAGCGGTATAAAGAGAAGGAGAGAGAGAGAGAGAGAGAGAGAGAGAGAGAGAGAGAGAGAGAGAGAGAGAGAGAGAGAGAGAGAGAGAGAGAGAGAGAGAGGAGCGAAACTATTTGGCGCACTTCCTTCCTCTTTCTTCCCCTTTCGCAATTAGGGCCGCTGGGCTGAATGAGTTGGACAGCACTGGCAGAAAAAAAGCGGCCCTTGCCGAAAACGCGAAAACGCCACGTGCGTGGGGTTCGGTTACAGGGCCTACAGGGCCTACAGGCCCGCTGCGGCGAGACATTCCGTCCGAGAAATAGCCACGCCTTGTCTCGTGGTCCCGGCCGCGAATGAGTGCCAACGGAGGGAATCCTGCGAGGGAATCGTGAATAATCGCGAATAAAAAAGAGAGAGGGGGAATTGGAAGCATTCAAACAGCAGACCTGTCCGACCGTCCGAACCAACCCCATCCCTGGGACTGGACAATCGCCGACGCGGAGCGTGGTGTCCGATGGGTTGCCTGCTTCCAGGCGCGCACTGCGTGGATCCGCCGCACAGTGGGCCAGAAGACCGGTGGAGCCGGCCAAAATTCGAAACGTGTTTTGAGCTCCAGAGTCGCTGAACAGGACTCGAACCGAACGTGTAACCCCACCAATGGATTCCTCGTTAGAAGAGCAGTCCATTGGTGGGGTCGCACGTTCGGTTCGAGTCCCATTCAGCGATCCTGGAGCTCAAAACGCGTCCAGAGTTTTGGCCGCCTCTACCGGCCGTCTGGCCCACTGTGCGACTGTGGACACGCTGGATCCACCACTGCACAGGAAGCTGAGTGACGTGCTCGCGCGAGAAAGTGTCGCGAGGGTGTGTCGGGGGCGTCGGGATCGAAGAGGCGCCTACACTGGCGTCGGGGAAGGTAGGAAGCGGCAGCAAAAAGCTTCATTGTCGTTTCCGCTGGCATCCGCTGCATCCGCGAGCGGCGCGGCTGGCGCGGCAAGACACTGCGATCGGGTTTCGGGTTCCGCCCGCCCAGTTTCCCCCTTTTCATTTCATTCCGTTGCACAGTGGGCCAGAAGACCGGTGGAGGCGGCCAAAACCCTCGACGCGTTTTGAGCTCCAGAGTCGCTAAATGGGACTCGAACCGAACGTGCGACTCCATCAATGGATTCCTCGCTTCGTTCAAAGAGCAATCTATTGGTGGGGTCCACACGTCACACGCTCGGTTCGAGTCTCTTTCAGCGACTCTGGAGCTCAAAACGCGTCTAGAGTTTAGGCCGCCTCCACCGGTCTTCTGGCCCACTGTGCGACCATCCAGCCCTTCCCTCTTGCATCCGCGCCTGCTGTCACTAGAATGCAACTCCAGCACCGCGACGTTAAATGGGTTGCCTACCCGCGGCGCGACAGGCGCTCCGCCACTTCCGGTTCATTCCGCGCGTCGCGGACATCGCTCTGTCACTCTCGCACTCGTGGGTCATCCGCGCGCATCCGCGCAGGAGCGAGAGAGACAGAGACAGTTCCGAGTCGACAGGCCTCCCGAGGGCAAACAACCCCGACGCCGCAATTCGTCTCGCCCTGGGAAAGGGAAAGGGCGGAGCCATCTCGGGTTTCACTTTCCTCGCGTTCCCACCGACGCACCCTGCCGCCCCCAGCGGGGCCCAGCGCCGGCCGAGGGCGCACAGTGGGCCAGAAGACCGGTGGAGGCGGCCAAAATCCTAGACGCATTTTGAGCTCCAGAGTCGCAAAGTGGGACTCGAACCGAACGTGTGACCCCACCAATGGATTGCTCTCCGAACGAGGAATCCATTGGTGGGGTCACACGCTCGGTTCGAGTCCCATTCAGCGACTCTGGAGCTCAAAACGCGTCTAGCGTTTCGGCCGCCTCCACCGGCCTTCTGGCCCACTGTGGGGCGCCCCCGCCGTCACGGTGGCTCCCGACCCCCCGACCCCACGCAACAGGCGGCCAGCTAGCGACCCCACCCGGCCTTCGGAAGACGGATGATGCGGACGCCGAATGAAAATGAAAAAATCAAAAGGGAGCCTCAAACCAACCTCTCGTCAATTTTTTTTAATTGTATTTTTTTAAGAAGGGAAAGTGTTTTTACCTACGCTGACCTTGAGTTTGGGCTAGGGCAGGTCGGGTTGTGGGTGTGCTGTGCTGTCGGTCGAGCGATTCAGAAGGGTCTGTCTCTGTCGCACTAGTGGAGCTCTCAGTAAGGGTGCGAGAGAGAAAGAAAATCGCTCCTCTGAATCACTCGACAGACGGGAGTGCCGATACGCCATGCAGCCCTGGTCACACCTGGCCCTGGCCTATCTTAGAAATGGGAGAGGTAGGTAGGTAGGTAGATAAATTAATTTCAAGTTTCCATTTATTCGTTTTTTTTTTCATTTTAAAAATTGCTCTGCAACAATTTTCCAATTGTTATATGCATTTGACAGACTTTGGTCGATGAGAACTTAGCACAGTTCACCATACAAGAGTTCTACTCTAATAATAAATCAGTTTACAAATTTACAGACTTAATTGTTCTTTGTCATGAAGCACTCCATGTCCCCCTCCCATGAATAGAGGCAATAATGATGGAACATTCCCACAGGGAACAAAAGCGGACAGATGGTTATTTACAGAGTAAACAGAGTTGTCACAGTTCATTAAAGAAGTCCACAACTTCCTCCAATTCTCTTTCGCGAGCTTGCTGGTGGGCCCATCTATCTTCAGCTAGTTTTTCACTAAGACGCCATTTGTCATGGTAAATTCTCTTCCCACACGCTGGACATTGCTTCCCACCTAGATTTGTAACCAATATAACGTTATTATCAAAATCTCAATTTTTTAAAACCATTCACAAACTTTCAAGCAAATACTGACCTTGAAAAGGCGGAGTCTTCATGTAGGTAAGAAGACAGTGTTGGTGAAATAAGTGACCACAATACACTCTCTCAACATGCATATCACAATTTTCATCAGTTTCTGCTTCCTACACAAAAAAAAAACATCAAGAGAATTTATCATAATAATATTTCAAAAAACAAAAAAACATTTTAAAATTACAAAATCACAGGGTACTGAGTCAAGGCCGTATTCATCTTACCTGAGGATTCAATGGCAGACACATATTTTTGCACAGCTGGCAGTTTTCTTTAGGCATTTCCTTCACAAGGTTTCCAAGGAACGACAAAACCGGAAGTACGGAAGGCTTTGGCAAAAATGGTTCATTTATTTTCTTTTTATTTAGGGGTGGTTCAACACACTTCCTTGCAATCTCTTTTGCCTGTCCAATACAAAAGCGTTGGAACATTGGAGGAAAGTTTGTATCAACATCTTGCAGGCTGCAAAAAGACAATGCTCAAAATATATGAGTCTACATATTTTTTCAATTTTAAATTATTTAAGCAAATTTTATGGGTGATATTTCTAGCCTGGGTTGAGATAACTTACATAACTGCCTTCTCAGGATAATCTTCAGGGACGATCACATTAGTTTTCAAGAAATAATTTCCCTGACATACTTTAAGAATAAGGGATGAGGATTTTTGTTTCAAACGAAGTTCATCACCTTCCACTTTAGGATCCAGCACTTTTTGCTTAATGGTTGAAATCTCATCATAACAGCAGGAGAGAGGATTTTCATCAATGAAAGACCGGATAAATTTTAAGAGATGAAGGATCTGAGAAATAATGGTATGATGAGATATACTGGTATCATTTTGTACGCATAGGGTATTTTAGTATTGTTCATCAAAGCAGCATGATTTTATCATACAAACCTGAAGTTTTCCTACGCGTTTCTTTAGATCTTGCTCACATACACTTGTTAGTTTTTCAAGTAGGTGCTCTGATAGAGTTCTGCTTTTTAATTCAATAAGCAAAATTTCTTGTGGGTACTTGGGAGGAAACTGAATGCATACTACAATTTTTTTGGTATTTGTGCGACTGAAATAAACAACATAGCAGCATTATTTCATGAATTAAAGCAAGGACACACATGAAGAAACTTTGATTGAATATATGGTTGCAAAAGTAAATAAGACTGATATTCATAACTCTCCAAAGCCTTGTAAACATTTGGTTAGCATTACCTTATTTCGACACGAACAAGTGACTCGACGCAGGAGATAAGACGACACCCAGGGATGGTACGTTCACAAAGCTTGGACACATCTTGTAGTTCATCATCAATCACTCCCATAGAAAAATTAGGTTTTTGCTTCGATTCCGAGGACAACAAAACTGGAAGGGCCTACAAAACAAAAAGAGAGAAACCTAAATTAGATGTACTGCACATCAAGGAAAAGAGTTGACAGGTGGCTTAGGTGTAACTTTACCAATGAAGCGTTGCCTCAGCAGCTTGCCATCAAAATAAATCACTGCGTAAAGTCAGAAAATTGAAAAAGAAAGTGGTATTCGAGCTGCAGACGCAGCAGCTGACACATTTCTTTCTGCTAGCTACGATAACAGAAGAACAAGGAACGGACGGAACAGGGGTTGCGTTATTCACCCTCCAAACCGAAACACCCTCTGCGTTATTCACAGGTTGTAAACATGGCGACAACGAAGACCGACGAAGATGTGGACTTTAAAGGAGAAAATGATGAAGGAAAACATCCTGAAGGAAATTTGTTGAACTTTGAGCCAGAAGTCCCTGTAGAAAGTATGTTGGTACCCACAGATAATTTCGACTCCTTCGAACAGGAGGCTCCTCCGGACCCAAGCAACCTCAAAGTTGACAGCAACCTTGCAGAATGTCAGAATAATGATAATAACACCGTGGATGACGACAAGTTGGACCCAGACACGGTAATATTTGTTCTGCCTCATTGATCCTCTGCCATTGACTGACTGTCATAAACATAAACAGCAAGACTGCAAAACCTGATATGTTGTGGAGGCTACCTTCGCACCATCATTTTAGTAGCGAAACATAGAAAGAGTTGTTTGATTTCCTAGCTGGTTTTCATTATAGGGCACAAGAATAGTGTATTTTTTGTATTACAGAAAAATCATGTATTGATTAACATTCACAATCATTGCTTATGTCCCTTTGCTCCTCAGAGTGGTGCGAGTCGGTCAATCAGTGAGCTGAGTTTAGCGAGCGAAGAAAGCACTGACCACCATGGTGAGGAAGAGGTAACCAACAATGAAGAATGGCGCTCTCAAGAAAAACATGTATTCATTCTAAGTTCTGCTGGAAAACCCATATACTCACGGTAAAGTCATAAAGTTGTTTGTATTGTGTTATTAACGTTCCAGACTAAAATTATGGCTTTGTGGATCTATTATTTACTTAACTTACTAACCATACTTTAAATATTCCTCTTTCCAGCCATGGCTCAGAAGATAAATTGGTCACATTATTTGGAGTGATGCAAGCATTAGTATCATTTATTGGTGATGATGGAGACGTCATCCGTTCCATTCATACTCAGGGAACTTTGTTTGTATTTTTAATAAAAGGTCCAATTATGCTCGCTTGTGTTTGTAAAACAAGGGAAAGTGTAGCCCAGATTACTGTACAGTTAAAGTGAGTACAAATTTACTTTCAACTTGGCTGCTGTGATTGGCTTATCACTTTTCTTTCCCCCTTTTTTTCTCTGTACAGTTATGTCTACAGCCAAATTGTAAGTGTATTAACTTTACAACAGTTAACAAGAATATATGAACAACGTAGAAATTATGACCTGAGAAGACTTTTAGCAGGAGCTGAAAGACTAATAGATCACATGTTAATTGCTCTTGAAACCCAACCTGCCCTGCTACTTGGTGCAGTGCAGTGCCTTCCTCTTGTGCCAACCACCAGGGATGCAATTACTAATATCATTGTCTCTAGCTGTAATAAAATCAAGGTACGTTTCAGAAGCGGAATTGTAGGTCTCACATCATCTACTATCGCAATTTTGCTTGTCTCTGTTATTAATACTTCTTTGTTTTTATCTGTCTCTTCTCCTTTTAGAATTTGGTATTTGCAATATTAGTTGGAGGTAACCAACTGGTTACATTAATCCGTATGAAGAAGTTCTTCCTACACCCAGCAGATCTTCATTTAATCCTCAATCTAGTCAACAGTTCTGAAAGTTTTAAGGCTGCTGAAAGTTGGACTCCTATTTGCCTGCCCAAATTTGACCCAAAGTTTGTATATTATTATTGGGGATTTATTTAAGATTAATTATTTGTTAACTTGTTTCTTTACTTTGGTCAAATTTTCTCTATTTTTATGCAGTTATTTAAAATTTCAGGGGTTTTCTTCATGCTCATGTCTCATACCTAGCTGAGGACTGTGAAGCATGTTTACTTCTCCTCACTGTAGATGCTGATCTGTTTTTCCCTTTATCAGAGGCAAAGCAGAAGATTGTTGAGGTAATTTGTTTGCTTTCTAATCAAAATCTTAAATTTTGCCCCTTTTTCAAGAGGTTGTAACACTTTTTCATTTCCAGAAATTACGTCGCGCCAGTTTACTGCAGTCAATTAACTCAGCATTGGCACACCCAGGAACCCCTGTATCACAACTAGGTGTTCCAGAAGCCCGTCACTTCTTGTATAAGTGCAAAGCTACTGCTCAATTTTGGGGACCTGTCCCTGCTCCCCCCTATCAAACTGCAGAGGGCGCAAAGAGGTTGCTTGATCAGTACCGCATTTTACATCATCGCTTACATGCTCCCATGCAGCCTTTAAAGCTGCTGTATCTCCAGGACCACGCTGAAACAATGCTAGGCTGGGTACGTAATTTCTAGTTTCAGAAGGGAAATGGAGGAGGTGAGACATTGAACCATCTCTTTTCATGCTTTTTTCCTAATTTATTTTTATCTCAGGTTACCACTGGCTTTGAACTATATGTGGCTTTTGAACCACTTGTGACCAAGACCAATGCAATTAATGCAGTCAACAAGATCTTGAGATGGATCAAGAAGGATGAAAATGGACTGTTTATTACTAATGCACCTACATTTTAGGTCATGTTGGGTGTGTGCTATATTCCATGTTACAGTAAAATTATCATCTATTTATCTATCTTCATGTGATATTCATTTTGCTCATTCGCAGCTATAATTAACTTTTAATTTATAGATAGTTTGCTATGATCTTGATTTGTGTACATATTCCCATCTCTTGTTTTCTTTATCCCTTCCCTTCTTTGAAATGTACAACTTTCCTGTGATGAACTGTTAAAATGAATTGGTTTAATTGTTTTTTCTTGTCTAAAACGTTGACTTTTTAAAGAAGGATTCAGAGTTCACCTGATTGACCATAGAATACAAATAGCAAGCCGTATTCTTGGAAGTAATAAAAATCCCTAATGAGTTGAAATACTGTCATGAGCATACCATTCATCTGTTAATCAAATTTCATTAATGCTCATCACATTGATTATGCAGAAAGGAAAAATATAATGAAGTTTTATAAGTAAAGAAGAATAATATCAGTTGTTGCTAAATTTATTCACCAACCTGTACAACCATCACTGCTTGGATACCCACAAGTACAATGCTTTGTGAAAGTAGTCTCAAATCAAATGTAAAAAATGTACAAAGAGGCATATACCATGAGAATGTCATCTTTTGCTTACAGTGTTGGAATACAAATGAGGACTGAATGTACTTTTCATTTAATGCAATTAACATGAAAATAAAATATTTGTACTGCCAAGTACCTATTACATATAGTACAATGAAAATGCACAATCATTAAAATTGTAACACAAATCCATCACTGATTAAATAAGTGAAGTTGGGGCAAGTTGAAATTATTAATATCTGGCACGATCTCTATCACGATTTCGGTCTCTGTCACGGTCTCTGCCACGATCTTTGTCTCTCTCTCTTTCCCGATCTCTGCCTCGGTCGCGGTCCCTCTCTTTTTCATGAACTCTATCCTTTTCCTTGTGCCTTCGATCATCTTTTTCTATGCGATGACCACGGTCACGATCTCTGTCCTTTGAGCGATGTCTTCTGTCTCTATCATAGTCACGGCCTCGATCTCTTTCTCTTTCTCTACTGCGACTGCGATGCTTCTTGTCTTCAAGTCTTCTATCTCTGTCTCGGTCTCTATCCCGTTCCCTGCTGCGATGACGGCGGTCTCTATCCTTTGCTCTGTCCTTGTCTGCGGATGGAGATGCACGTCTACTTTTCTCCACTTTGGCTGGAGGTTGAACATCCATAACTTCCTCTTCATCACCAGAAGACTCCATGTTGTCATCAAGATCGTCTTCCAGAGCAGATACTTTGGGCTCCAGCTCATTGTTTTCTTCTAAAACGTACCTTTTCTGGATGCGAGGTAAAATTACATCAACAACTCGCTCATCTCTTAGCAAGCTGTCAATAAACTCGTCCATGTACGTGAGAATGTATGCACCATCTCTGTTCTGCTGACGTAACTTGCGACCATCATTGAGAAGGGGCTCCAAATATTTATAGCAGTCTATTGAAGTGCCAACTAATCTCATGTATGTGGCACCAAGTGCTCGAACATACTTAAATTCTTCATTTTTTATAAATTCAACAATAATGTCTTTTTCGGGTTGAATTTGGAGCATCTTTAAGATGAGGCAAAGGAATGGTGTGGGCTTAATATTTCCACCAAACACTCCGCCAATGAACCGAAGTTCCATGGCTTTGTCCACCAACAATTCTGCAGTCAACGCAAAGCATTCTTCCTTCCAATACTTGCTGTCATAGATACGAGAACGTATGATCTTCTCCACAATGTACTGAGGGTTCGTTCCTCGCACCGATTTGGCGTCTTTGACAGTGCGATTAGCCATTTTAACAAAAGGAAATTAAATGTTTGGAGATCCCACAGGACGATCCTAACCTCACAACATCATTCAAGAATAAGAAAAGAAGGCGACTCAGAGAGTCCCAGCCACAAAATCAGAAGCGGCCACGTCGCTGGTGTTACATTTCTCGCTCGAGAATTTGTTTTTCACTCGCACTAACTTTACGAAATTCTTCAAACACAGACAACAGAGTAAGAAATCGAATGTTTTGAAGGGGGGGGGGACATCCGTTAATAATTTTTTGGCCTGCCCCTTGGGCATGTAGGCCAGAGTTTTATTCTTTCCGGTTTCACCGCCTTGTATAGGTGGGTCCCGGGGTGTTGATTTCGTTTGTTATTTTCTCATAGCTTGAGGTGGCTATTTGCCGCCAGAAGCTGTTTAAATGCTTCTGCCACAGTTTTCACTTCTTCCTGCTTTTGGACTTTGAAGATTTCAGGGTATTGGGTTTCGAGGCCTTCTGCCTTCAGTATGTCCTCAAATGCTGACTTGTCGGTGAATTTGCAGTTGTTGAGCAGATGGTTGTCGTCGGCTATTTCTCCGCATCTGGAGCACACTGGGGATGGTATTGCATTGATTCTATGGAGGTGGGCTGGGCAATGGGTATGTCCTATTCTGAGTCTAATTATTGTTGCCAGGGTGTTTCTATTTTGATCCGGTGCTTTAGCTATCCATGGTCTTTTTGGGAAGGTTGGTTGAATTCTGTAGTTTTTCCTTCCTTTTGGGTGATTCTCCCAGTTCTGTTGGACTTCCTGTTCTGTTTGATGTTTTATTTTATTTGAGAAGGTAGAATAGTGCTGTGGGGCGTTTTCTTCTTTCCCTGCTTTTCTTGCTAGCTTTGCAAAGTAGTCTGCTAATTCATTTGGGCTTATTTTCTTGTGGCTTGGGACCCAGTTTAGTTTTACTTTCGTGCCAATCTCTTCAAGGTTTGCCAGTTTTTCTCTGATGTCTGATATTGTTGAAGATTCTTGTTCTCTGATGAAGTTTGTTAAGTTTAATAGTAAGCCTTTGTTGTCAACTAAAATTAATATTTCTTTTCCATGTCCAGGATTAATTTCTTCAGCGTGTACGAGGGCTAAATGGAGGGCTTTTGCCTCAGCTTCATAAATCTCCGTGTTTGGCTGTAGCTTCAGCATCTTTGCCTTGATGGGCCTTCCGGAGTAGTCAACCATTGCAGCTCCTACATTTTCTTCAGGGTTGCCCTTGGATCCGTCTGTGGAGAGGATGTGGTAATTTTTCCATGTCGTTTTAATCAGGTATTTAAATATTTCCTTTTCATCTTCACTTTCTTTGGCGACGTAGGGTATTGGGGGAAAATTAATGTTTATTTCGGGGGTGGAGGTGAGTTTTTCTATCTGGACTGAGTAGCATTTTGGCACTGGGCTTTTTTCAATTTGATTTGGGTCAACTGGGAATTTTTCAAATCTTTTTAGTAGCAGTTGTTTTCTTTTTGTTCTGTGGGCGCCAGCCCATGAGTTCAGTAGGTTAATCACAGGGTGGTTTGTGATGCTATGCCATTTCAGGATAGCTCTGTCTGTGAGCATGTTTAGCCTATTCTTGAGCGGCATTTGTGCTGCTTCTGCTTGGATGGCCACAATTGGGCTGCTTTTCATGGCTCCGAGACAGACTCTTAGTCCTTGTCGTTGGGGTAGCTCGAGGTGGTTCCAGTTCTTTTTTGTTGTAGGGTCGTAGACTCCGGCCGCGTAGTCCGTGACACTTCTCACTAGGGCTTGGTAGGCTCTGATGAGGGTCATTGGGTGGCTTCCCCACCAGTGCCCTGAGAGTGATCTTATGAAGTTTACCCGTTTGTTCATCTTGGCTACCATGTATTGGATGTGGTTTGTCCATTTCAGTTTGCTGTCCAGTTTCACTCCTAAGAATTTTGCTTCTTCTGTTTTAGGTACCATTCCGCCCGCCAGGATAATATTTGGTAGTCCATTTGGTATCTTTCTCTTCTTAGTAAACAACATGAACTGAGATTTTGCTGGTGCTAATTGGGTCTTATTTTTTTCCAGGTTTGTTTCAAGCTGTCTGGCTGCGTCTTGGAGTTTGTAGATAGCTTCTCGTGCTTGGCTGTGGGAGAATGTTTTGAAGCACGATTCCTTTTTTCCTCCTTTTTTTTTTGGAAGGAGCCGGTGTTTCATGTGTGCCAACCGAAAAACCAGCAGGTCTGTGAAGTTAGCCGTCTTGCCATAGATGGCGCCAGCGTACGGGCCGAAACTACTGGGAGCCCTTCTCCCCCGTAGAGCATTCCCTCTTCAGAAGCGTGCATTTCGTTCTTTGAAATGGTTAGGGCTTCAGAAAAAGCGAATCTCACCGGTCACGCTGCCAAAATTGAACGCATGATGATTTTCTGGACCAAGGCAGGAGCAGAAAGGGCTTGAAGGGGAATGCATTGATCCAATGCTGCCAGCTGCGCACGTCATTTTCGTTGTCATTTACAAGCCTCTTCTTTTGAAAGAACATCTATAGAAATAAAATTAGCTTGGTGATTTTGTAATCGAACTACGGCAGTTCGTTACGCGTATTTATTACGGTATATGTTTGCTGTCTGTTTCAAGCTGCCACAGCAATGGAGAAGGTGGTAAGTGTGGTTGCAAACAACCATGGCGGCTGCTTGAAATTAATCTAGTTTCGGCAAATTATTGCTCAAGTGGTGCTTTAGAACGTAGTTTATTGGAAGCTGACCTTTCATTCGCTGCCTATTTTACTCTGTGAGTAATTCTTAACCCCCGTTTTCCTGTGATTTGTTGCTGCCTTTAAAATATACTATTGTTTTGGCGGTTGTTTGCTTTCGTAAACAGTGTTCTTGAGGTTAGGATATCTTCTTAGGCCTGAACCCTTTACCCGATTTAAGTTTCTTTAGTCTTTTGCAATGAAACTTATTCTTTTTTACCGTGTTCGCTTTGTCGGCGCGTTGTCCCCGCTGCATTTTGAATGAATACCCGACTGCCCCATTTTGGTTCCATTGTACAGTTGGGGAATTTGTACTCATTTTAAAATTTCCGTGTGTATTCTACTTTGAAAAGAAGCGTCATTTTCTATCTTCACCTTTTATACACTTTCATATTCTGCTTTTGGGTTATGAATGATTGTTGATAACACAATTTGTTGCAGGATGTGTGATTTAAGGATGCTGTCCTCTTGCTGGATCTACCATGGATAGACAAGACTATGAGAATGCTAATATGGAGCCAAGTTTTCCTCATGATACATCCAAGGATAGCAATGAGATTCCCACCATGTCATATCATGGGATTGGGGAGAATAACTTGACATTGTCACAACAGAATTTCCCAATGACCGATGGATATTTCGGGGGTGGCAACTCACAGGCTTCATCAAGCAATATCCACAATGTGCCTGTTTCCAATCCTCTAGACCATAATGTAGCCTTTGAAAGCAACCAGGGACAAAATTTTAACTCCACCGATCAGAGAAATCAATCGTATTGCTCAGAGTTCCCCAATCAGATTGCTTCATCTCTACCATTTTCAGGAAGTTTCCAGCCACAGGAAGAACAGTTTGCCTCTAATATGCCTCAGTCACAAATGTTTTCTGCTCAAGTTCCACCCTCAGAGTTTCCCAGTCCTAGTAATTTATTTTCAACTAGAAATGAACATGCACCTCCTGATAGTATGGGAAACTTTCCAAATACTTCGGAGTACTTAGACTGTAACTCTAAACCGCTGTTTCCTGTTATGGTTCCAAATGATTCAGTTGATACCAATCTTTATTCAGCAAGTAATGGATGTGAAAAAGTGAATTTGTCAACATTTTCTCTTGGCCATTTCTATCCTACTCCTGTGGAAAACATGCCTAGAACTGTTGACGCGTGTGATCCTTTTGAAAATGAATCTCCTACTCAATCTGGAAGTGGAAGCATACTTCATCCTAACAATGGGCAGCTCTCTTCTCAGTCTGACAATGACCATCTACCTCATTCCAATACTGAAGAGTTTCTTTCTCAACATGATGGCAATGATGTACCTCATTCTAACAGTGAAGAATTTCCTTCTCAAAATGTTAATGCTGTGCCCCACTCTAACTGTGAGGAATTTCCCACTCAACATGATAGCAATGCTGTACCTCATTCAAACTGTGAAGAATTTCCCTCGCAACATGATAGCAATGCTATACCTCATTCGAACTGTGAAGAAGTTTCCTCCCAACAAGATAGCAATGCCGTGTCTCATTCAAACTGCGAAGAATTTCCCTTGCAACTTGATAGCAATGCTGTATCTCATTCTACCAATGAAGAATTCCCCTGTCAAAATGATAGCAATGATTTACCTCATTCTAACTGTGAAGAAGTTTCTTGTCAACCTGACAATAATGATGTACCTCATTCTAATAATGAGGAAATTTCCTCTGGAAATGCTGATGAAGCGAACTTGTTTGACCCTCTTCAATTTGAGGGTGGGTCAAGTTCACAAACTGTGTCTTCCATAAATCATGAAGGTTTATCAAATAATTCAGAAGATGCTACAGGGCAATGTAACAAGGTCACCTCTGAAAATGATGAGGATGGAAACAAGTTAGACAATCTGTATGGAATTGATAACCCCTCAGAGGCAATTGTCTCAGAAAATACGGGTGGATTTATGTCATCTTCAAATAAAGATGTTGATGAGAGTGCTGAATGTGGTTCAACCATGGAAACCTTAGATGATCTCAGTGCTAGTTTAGAGAAAGGCATTGAGGCGTCTTTGGAAGAGAGTTGCTCCACAGCAAACAATGACCAAGTAGAAGCAGATACTCCAAGACCACTGTCACCTATGATAACTGCCTTAGATAAGGAGTTTTTGGTGGAGCCAAAAAAGGAAGGTAATTAACAAGCAAACAGTTTTACTTTCGTTTCTCATTCCAGTTATTTGTTCAATGTTGTTAATTGCCTTGTTTATTTGCATGTATGCACCCGTAGTGGCTGATGGTGCAGATAACATCCGTTTAACTAGAACAAGAACAGGTGCAGTGCGGAATAAAACTCAAAGATATGTGGATGAGATAGAGATGATGGAGGATTCACAAGAATCTGTAATCTGTGAGTTCCACATCGTATTTAGTGTCTATTTGTAGTTTTGAACCTGTCATATGAATAATTAATTATGGTTGGTTTCAGATGAGGAGTGGCAGTATGAGGAAGGTGCAGAGTTAGCTCCGTCTGTTGTAGATCCGTCTGTTACAGTCAATGACGATGTACTAAGAGTCACTCCTAGAGAATTAGCTTCTTACTATCAAAGTTTTGTGGGTAAGGATCTATTTGAAATAATGCTTTTGACGAATTGCTGTTTGAAGGGACATTAATATGAAGAATATTGTTCTGTTTTCAGAGGGTGTTGATACTGTTTTGAATCAACGTCTTCATTGCACAGCATGTGGTGTGCACATTGGTGCAGCACCAAATTATATTCACCTGGGAAACCGACATAAAGTTTTGAGAGTTCTTATTTGCAACAAGTGTCGCACATTTTATGGAGTAGGAAAGTTCAGCAAAGATTCTGATGGCTCAGAACTATTTTGTCGTTGGTGTGGACAAGGTGGACAAGTCATCTGTTGCAGTAGTTGCCCCAACGTCTTTTGTCAGGTATTATTTAGAATTTCTATTGTACCACTAATATTGATGTGAGTAGGCTGACAGATTTACAAGTTGTTGTTCTAATTTTTCTTTGGTTTTGTTTTATGCAGTTGTGTATTAGGAGAAATATTGGAGAAGATTACTTAAACTCTGTTGTTGCATCAAATTTTTGGGCTTGTTTTTTGTGCAATTATGAAATTCTCTGGCCACTACGTGCTGTGTGCTGGGCACTCCTGACCTATACTATGAAAAGGAAGAAGTAAGTTGCAAGGGATATTGACATTTAATTATGAATTTATAGATTTCTTTTCTTGTGAATTATTATGTATCTAACACCTTTACCCCTTTTCAGGGATGCATTGAGTGGAAATGATAGCAGGAAGACTCAAGAACTTCAAGATGATAAAAGCCGGTGTTGCCCTAAACAAACCAAAAAGAGAAAACCTCCCAGCAAATCCAAAGTCATCAATCCCAGTGCCAGTCTTCCTGGTAATTTAAATGGATTGCAGTTGGGTCATTTTCTTTTTGGAGGTGGGGAACAGCATGTTAGAGGATCTGCAGCAGATGAAGATGAGTATATTGACCCATCTCAGTTTGTTCAGTCAGTGTTGGAGGAACCTCGTAGATTGCAACCTAAAGTTTTAGCAAAACCAATTATGCCAAGACTTGGTCCTCAAATTTCTGTCAGTTCTTTTCAATCACCGGTAAGGCCTGTTCAGATTCAACCCCGACCTGTTTTGCTTCAAACCAATCCACCAAGAACAGTAAGGGCCGTCTACTCTCAACCTCCACGACTCTTTGTGAGACAAGGAAATATGATGCGTCCGGGTTTACTACCTATCAATAATCAACCTAATAGTGTGCCCTTGCAAGTGGCTACGAGATTCAGAGGTCCCTCGCTTTTGAGGAATAGTGCACCCATTCGACTTCAAACACCCTTTATGAGAACTGATCCACCCGTTCCCCAAAACCCTGCTCCAACCAGGACTGCAGTAAGAAACCCAGCTTGCGTTATCAACAATCTGGATGGGGTGCGTTCAATGGAACAAATTCAGGCTCTTGACCAGGTTCCATGGTACCGGGATGGAATTGATAACGTGAGAGCTGTGGGCTTCGCTCTCACTAAAAGAATAAGAGAACTTGAAGCACGATTTCACAGTCTAAAAAGTAAACAGGATGTTGAGAAGATTATGAGTCTTGGGAGAAAGCTGGAAAAACTTTCTGAAAGAACAGAAAAGCGTTTCAAGAAAATAAATGCCACTTTAAAAGATGCTTGTAGGGAGTGGTGTGTGCAGAAAATGAGGAACTCTCCAACCTCTGTTGATCCTTTCAGATTAGGTAAGGAGGAAGGAATTAGTGACTGGGACGATGATGTTGAACTTTCTAAACCTCTGGAAAAAGTCTTGATTCCAGTAAACAGTGCCTCTCTCCAAGCTGGAGCAATTCGACCAGCTCAGCCCAGAGTCATTTCTAGGACAAATCCTCCACCTCTAGCTACTATGCTTGGCCCTGCTGCTAGGGCAGGGCAGCCACAGCCGCAGTCGGTGTCTAATGTCTCCTATTCAGTCAGACTTCCTGGACCCAAGTCGAGTGCTAGTCGCTTTGTGCAGATTGGTGACCTTTCTAAGAGCATCACTCACACTGTAGGTGCCATAATAAATAAGAGGAATGGCCCCAACTCTATTTCTGTTAGTCTTACACCAGCACCTAAGCGGAAAAGACTTGAATCCAGTAGCAGCAATGGTAGTGATGTGGTAATGGTTTACCCCACAATCCCAGAACTGATAAAGTTGTACAATATCAAACCTTGTGTGGTAAGATTACAAAGGAATGACAGTTTTATTGTCAACTTTCTGGAAAGACAGGAACATGCAAGATCTCAGAATGCAATGTATGATGATACCTTAGACGTAAATGAAGTGGAGTCGGTCATGAGTCCGCAAGTTTCCATCAACGATCTGGAAGCTGAGGCAGTCATCTCCTCTAGTGACTTTCCGGAACATTTCCTGTCATCACTTGTAGAAATGGGCGACACATTTAGAGACCAGGCTGATACAACCGAAAGTAATTCAACTAGCAATGTTGAATCCCTTGTTCAAAATGATGACGACGATGATGATATTGAAATAATTGATGAGGTCAGTGTTTCAAAATGAGATAAAAATGGCATTGTCCAATTGGAAGGATAGGGGTTGTGATTTCGAACTTAAAAACTTGGGTTTTGGTGTGTTTTCTTTTTAGATAATTATTTTTTAAATATTGTCTTTGTAAATGTGTAAGTTGTTCTATTTTGTTACTTTCTATCAAATAGACAGTATTGTTCATTAACATTGTTTTTAGATGATGTAAACATCATTTTATGTATACTTTTTCCTCAAAGTACCATATTACTGATAAATACTAGTGATTATAGTTGTATGAGACTGAAAATTTTGCTTTATATATCTTGTTGTCTTGTGGTTGTTTCTTTTGTAGGTCATTCATAATGGATCACAGTCTTGTCTTGTGTCCCAGCTTTGTATGTTATGAATTAGTCTAATTTGCTAAACATATAAACCACCAGTTAAGAGGAGCCATTATGTTTCACTTAAATTTATCCCTTTGTCTCCTAAAGTTCTAATCTGCTATGCCCCTGTAACCTTTGAACGGTTATTTTTTGTTGGAAGAAGGATATTCTCTTTTGATGTCTTTTAATGGCAATAAATGTCAGGAAAATTTTTGGTTCTCTCTTGATTATCTTCCACCTCCCAACCGTGCAGCAATTCACACCCAGGCAATGCTGGTGATTGCCTTTACAGTTTCCATCTCTTACAAGTACCCAATTATCCGTGGTGATGCCTGGAGTCCTACACCCCCAGCGTGCTAGGCCACAGTGGGCCAGAAGATCGGTGGAGGCGGCCAAAATTCTAGACGCGTTTTGAGCTCTAGAGTCGCTGAATGGGACTCGGAACTGAACGTGTAACCCCACCAACGGATTGCCTTCGGAACGAGGAATCCATTGGTGGGGTCACACGTTCGGTTCGAGTTCTATTTAGCGACTCTGAAGCTCAAAACGCGTCTAGAATTTTTGCCCCATGCGCCGGTCATCTGACCCGCGGTCCATGCGCAGGCAGCTGCCTCAGGCCGGGCGCCTGCAGACTGCAGGGTAGGCAGTGCCGCTTGACGCCCGGGCCAACTGGTTGCCTACCCCGCGTTGGTCGGGCGTTTTTCGTGCGGGGGGATTCCTACTTCAGTCCTGGCGCCTTTTTCTGAACTCTGAGCTTTCGGAACTTGTGACACGATCATATTTAAATTTGGTTTCCTAATTTTGTTGTCATGCGAGACACTCGCATCGCAAATCACATCTTTCACAAGATAATAGTCACTTTAAATATTTTTTTGAACTTTTTTTGGGGGGAACTGAAGTTTTCTGTTCTTAAGTTACCCCGAACGACGAAATCCCCTACCTGGCGCATCTTGCGTGGCCAGATAACTACATATTTCATGAAGCTCGACCGGCTAGAAAAGCTGTACCACAGGCCGCTATCCGTCTCTCTCCCACTCCTGTGGCCTCCTACAGGTGCGAGAGAGACGGAGCGAAGAAAGTCCGTCTCCGGAAGCAGCCTGCAGATAAGCGGATGGCATGACGGTGATGACGACGGAACGGCCGATCCTCGAACCGGAATCGGATCGTCATTTCGTATTCCAGTAATGACTAGTAATGGCCCATCGCACAGTGGGCCGGAAGACCGGTGGAGGCGGTCAAATTCCCGGACGCGTTTTGAGCTCCAGGGTCGCTTAACATGACTCGAACCGAACGTGTGACCTCACCAATGGGTTGCTCTCCGAACGAGGAATCCATTGGTGGGGTCACACGTTCGGTTCGAGTCCTGCTTAGTTACTCTGGAGCTCGAATCGCGTCTAGAGTTTTGGCCGCCTCCACCGGTCTTCTGGCACACTGTGCATTGATCCTCGTCCACGTCAAGCAGCAGTCTGATTCCGAGAGTCGTCTTCGCCGGTCTGTCTCTCTCGCACCTTTCCGCAACACCCTATGGGTGCGAGAGAGACAGAGCGACGGAATCAGGCTGTTGCGCTGTCTTCCCCCTGCATGAGTGCGCGGGAGACACAGCGGTGTGGTGGCGTGGCGGCGCTCCAAGGCCTGGACAGCCTGGACTCCAGGCGGCCGCGCGGCTGGCTCGGCGTGGCCCAGTAAGCGAGTGGCGGCCGGGCAGCAGGCACACCAGGAACAGCAGCAGCACAGCGACATGGACCGCTGGGCAGGCCGCGTGGCCGTGGTGACGGGGGCCAGTGCAGGCATCGGCAGCGCCATCGCCCAGGACCTCGCCAAGGCCGGCATGCGCGTCGTGGGGCTGGCCCGCCGCGAGGACAAGCTGCAGGTGAGTGTGGCCGGCGGCCGAGCTCGGTGGATTTGCCAGAAGACCGGTGGAGGCGGCTGGAACTCTAGACGTGTGTTCAGCTCCAGAGTCGCTGAACGGGACTCGAACCGAACGTGTGACCCCACCAATGGATAGCTCTCCGAACGAGGAATCCATTGGTGGGGTCACACGTTCGATTTGCGCCCTATTTAGCGACACTGGAGCTCAAAACGCGTCTAGAGTATTGGCGGCCTGCGTCGGTCTTCTGGCTCACCCTGCAGAGAACTTCCGTTTGAGAGGAAGCAGTGTTGACTAGCCGCCACAGAGACTTGCGTTCCACGCATTACGGCGCACTGCTCCTCCCGCGGTTATGCAGTCCCATTCCGTGCCAAGGCCGCGCTAGCTGCTCGCTAGCATGCTCTGTCTCACTCGCACCCCGACGGAGCGCCGCGGGAGTGCGAGAGAGACAGGAGTACGAGAACAGTCCTCTCTCTCTCTCTCTCTCTCTCTCTCCCTCTCTCTCACTCTCTCTCTCTCTCTCTCTCTCTCTCTCTCTCTCTCTCTCTCTCTCTCTCTCTCTCTGCTGCAGGCGCTGGCGGAGGCGCTGGCGGCGGACGGCGCCGGCGAGCTGATCCCGGTGCGCTGCGACGTGTCCGACATGGGCGACGTGCAGCGCGCCTTCCAGTGGATCGACGACAACGTGGGCGCCGTGAGCGTGCTGGTCAACAACGCGGGGGTCATGATCGCGCAGAGCATCCAAGGTGCGTGCCGCGCGCAGTGGATTTGCCACAAGAACGGCGCCCGCGTCCGAAACTCTAGACGCGTTTTGAGCTCCAGAGTCGCTGAACAGGACTCGAACCGAACGTGTGACCCCACCAATGGATTCCTCGTTCGGAGAGCAATCCATTGGTGGGGTCACGCGTTGGGTTTGAGTCCCATTCAGCGACTCTGGAGCTCAAAACGCTTCCGGGGTTTTGACCAGCCCAGTCACCACGAGTCCATCGAGTCCATCCCGGAGCTCGTGACCTACTGGGGCCGCTCGACTCGTTAATAATGAAGACGTGAAGCCAGTCAGTCGAGCCGCCCCCACTCCGCCAGCTGGCCGATCGGTGCACAGTGGGCCAGAAGACCGGTGGCGGCGGCCAAAACCCTAGACGCGTTTTGAGTTCTAGAGTCGCTAAACAGGACTCGAACCGAGCGTGTGACCCCACCAATGAATTCCTCATTCGGAGAGCAATCCATTGGTAGGGTCACACGTTCGGTTCGAGTCCCATTCATCGACTCTAGGGCTCAAAACGCGTCTAGAGTTTTGGCCGCCGGCGCCTCCACTGGCGCCTCGCCTCACCTCACATCATGACGCGTGCGTTCCAGACATGTCCAATGAGGACATGGCGGCAGTCATCAACACCAACGTCTTGGGGATGGCGTCCTGCTGCAGGGAGGCCATCAACAGCATGAAGAAGCACGCCGTCAGCGACGGCCACATCGTCAACATCAACAGGTGCGCCTCGCAGTGGGGCAGAAGACCGGCGGAGGCGGCCAAAATTTTGGACGCGTTTTGAGCTGCAGAGGTCGCTAAACAGGACTAGAACCGAACGTGTGACCTCACCTATGGATCGCGTTCCGAACGAGCAATCAATTGGTAGGGTCATACGTTCGGTTGGAGTCGCATTTAGCGACTCGAGCTCAAAACGCGTCTGGGAATTTTGCCGCATCCACCGGTCTCCTGGCCCACTGTGTGCCTGGTCGCCGAACTGGTCTCTCGGTCTCTCTCGCACCTCTAGGGGCAGCCTAGGGGCAGCCCCATGAGTGCGAGAGAGACGGCGACGAAAGCACTGCTTGCTGCTGCAGCTTCCTTGGCCACGTGGTCCCCGTGTTCGACGACTTCAGCGTGTCCTTGTACGCCGGCTCCAAGCACGCCGTCACGGCCATCTGCCAGGGCCTGCGGTGCGAGCTCAAGAGGATGCACAGCCAAGGCATCAGGATCAAAGTCACGGTATGGCACACAGTGGGCCAGAAGACCGGTGGAGGCGGCCAAAAATCTGGACGCGTTTTGAGCTCCAGAGTCGCTAAATGGGACTCGAACCGAACGTGGATTCCTCGTACGGAGAGCACTCCATTGGTGGGGTCACACGTTCGCTTCGAGTCCCATTGAGCGACTCTGGATCTCTAAAAGCGTCTAGATTTTTGGCCGCCTCCACCGGTCTTCTGGCCCACTGTACGGTGCGGTCTTAATCACGTAAGGAATCCGCCTGCTGTCCGACCGTACCTCAGTGTCGTTCGTGTTCCAGAGCGCGAGCCCCGGCCCGGTCCTCACCGACATGTTCGGAGACGACCTCCGCAGCTCGATCCCCGAGGACGAGATCCAGCGACTGCTCAAGGCCGAGGACGTGTCCAGGGCCGTGTGCTTCGCGCTGGCCAGCCCGCCCAACGTCGAGGTGAGACGATGGTGCACCGCCCAAGCCAGATTGCGGATCGTTTTCATGTTTAACAGTGGCCGATCCAGAGGCGGACATATTTTTATGGGGGGGGCATCTACAACGTTTTGCCTACTTACAGGGGCAAAGTGTGTTTTTTTTTTGCCTACCTTTCAGGCGGCTGTATAGGTGCCCCCCCCCCTTTCCCTCCGGATCCACGCTTGCTATGAACTCGAGTTTCTCATGCCAGGATGACATTCCATTGATTTGCAACCCTAACGACCTCATCTTTTCCAGATGGTGGAAATAACCATGCAAGCGACAGGCCATCTCACTTAATTCCGACACACGCTAAACTCATTTGCTGCTATACCTGTGTATCAAAACAGAATTTTAATAAAGAACTCATGAAATCTACCAGTGTTGTCTCCTTCTCATTTGTTTGTCCTCAGTGAATATACTCTAGCCCCGTACATTTTTTTCAACGAAAATGGTCGACCGCCTCCGATTTGTCTGAAGTTCCTATGGAACGCTGCCATGGGTCTAGGAAACAGGTGCCCGGTGCCCAATGGTCTCTGACGCATTTAATTTGGCGTGAAAATGACTTTTTCCGTGACGCTGGTCGAGTTCCACAAGCTGTGGACGGTGGGTTGCCTACCTACGCAGCGCATGCTCCAAGCATTCCAGTTTTTTGCCAGAAAAAGGCCGTCTAGGGCCGAAATGGCACCGCGTAGGCGGGCAACCCACCAGGGCCTATTTATTAAGTAGTTGTATTATGTGAGAGATAAGACTGACATTGAATAAAGGTGTTGAGTAATGACATTGAGACATGACTGTTGAGCAATACCATACCATATTTAATGACACGAAAACATTAAGTACATACCCGCTAGAATGTCACAATACTGAGGTAAAAACAACAATTAAATTGCTATGAAATAAGAAAAATTAAATCACAGTATTCAAATAAAATATAACACAGCACACTACATTACATTAAAGTTCTCATTGACGAAATGATATCACAAATTTCACTGAAAGAGGGCCGGTCCCTGGATTCAGACTTCCAACAAGGGGTCATCAGCTCGACATAAACAGCTTGTGGACATTGCGGCGGACAGGGCAGCCTGTCGCCTTTGTCCAACACTCTCAAAAGTTCATGATGGTCCTGTTCGTTGGTGCATGATGCAAGTCTTGGCTCTTCTCCGAGTGAAAACATTTCATAGAGTGTAACTCCATAGGACCACACATCAGAACGGGGAGAAAATTTACCATCCCGTAAACTTTCTGGAGCATACCTGAGAACAAAATTTAACAGAAATTGTAATTCATATCAATAAAATATTAAAACAAAATTTATGATAATTTCAGTTGATAGGGAATTATTTTATTACCATGGGATAGGTAGTTCTCGATTGGATGTCATTATGTAGTAATTATTTTGGCTCATGACCTGAGCAAGACCAAAGTCTGATATTTTAACATTAAATTCATCAAAAACGAGAATGTTACGAGCTGCCAAATCCCTGTGGACAATATTTTTCTGGCCCAGATACTCCATGCCCTGAAAAGAAGAAAGTGGTGAAATATCTATAGCAAAGCAGTTGAGTCTGAGTAAGAGGCAAAAAGATAATCAAATATGTACCTTGGCGACATCAAGAGCAAATTTCAGAAGATGTTTCTCGGGAAGGAGCTTTTCATTATGGATTTTCAAATAGCTCTTCAAAGAGCCATGCTGGACAAACTCCATAACAAGACTGACTTCTGGCTCATGAACAACACCTTTTATTTGTACAATGTTTGGGTGTTCCAAAGTCTGTGCAAACAAAGGCAAAATATCAAGCAAAAAGATAATATTTATGAGAAAAAAATGTATGGTTTGTTTTAAAAAGATAGGTCACCTTCATGATGTTAATTTCCCGTTCAAAATCAGCTAATGTTGTACTCAGAGCATCAGATCTCAACTTTTTGACAGCTACTTGCTCAGTCTCACTACTATCCAGCCGCTCTAATGTTCCCTTGTAAACCTCACCATAGAACCCCTGTACAAACAAGAAATAAGACAGTCAATAAATAAAGTCATGGGCCTATGCACAAAGATAATCTTATAATTACTTGCTCACCTGCCCAATACGTCCTTGCAACACTACATTGACATCAGGGCCCAACTCAAATACAGAGGACATACTTTCTAAAGACGTTGTCACAGTAGAAAAGGTCATATTTGAGAGCATTGCTGAGATATTAGGGGTCATAGTTTCATAGTTGCCAAGAAGGTGTTCCTAGTAGGTACAAAAGAAAAACAATGTAAATTATTAGTGAAAATGGCATAAACCAAATTAGATTCTCAATTCAAAATCTGACTCACTTGAGAATCTCCCAAAAGCCAGTTTCCAAACAGATTGCTTTCACTGCTGTGAGAAATATTCTCAGCAAATGTCTGACCAGAAATAACACGACCTCCTCCTCCAGAATCCAGTAAAGTTTCCACTGAAATAATTAGTAAAGAAATGCAGTACAGTAAAACAGTTTGGTAAGCAAAAAATTTCACACTATCCACAAAAAAACTACACACCCGTAGCACCAGACAGCATGCTGATTTCCGACTCACTAATACTGTATGTTTCTTCAGCCTGCTCCTTGAACCGCTTCGGCAAGGCCACTGAATATGAATGAGTCCGTCTTGAGTTGAAAACTAGAATCAAAGGCAAACCAATGAATGGAAGAATACAATACAGAAAAGTAACAATCTTTTGAATTTTGTGAATGTACCTTGGTAAAATATTTGGTTGATATCTCGCATTACTGCTTGTGGTTTCTTTCGATTGTTTGCATCAACTTCCCAGCACTCTTTTATAAGTTGAAATATGTCTTGTGAACAGAGTGGAGGGCAGGGTAGAGTTCCTCCACTTAGATAATGCTGCAAAAAGCACAATCATGTATAAAATCAGTGCCTCATAATTCAAATAAAATTACATGCATCTTCTCTTCAATTACCTTTTTGACACTTTCCACATTTGATAGGTCTGGTATAGAATCTCCGAGTGCAAATATTTCCCACATGGTTGTGCCACAGGCCCACACATCTGCCAGTGGTGAATTCTGGGCACTTTCCAAATCATGGTAGCACTCAGGAGGAATCCAGTGAATGCTTAAAAAACAAAAAACAAAAAAAAAAAGAATTATGAAGTAGAAGACAAATACTAATGTCCATGTGTTTCATGAAGCAGTAAACTCACTCATAATATGTGTAAACAGGAAGTCCAGGATCTGCAAGCTTGACCGAGAAGCTTTGTGCATCATGGGTAGCAAGAAGCAGATTCTTGCATCGTATGTTGCCGTGGACAATACCATGCTCCTCCTTAGAAAACAAGAAAAAAATTAAATGGAATGAGCCATTGATCAGAAAATTTCATGCACTATATTGAGATGATAAACTCACAAGATGCCAAAGAGCAGATGCAAGATTGGCACAAGCTTCAACCAGATCAATGGGCTTTATGACTTGTCGATTTTCCTTGAGATATGAATCAAGCGGGCCAAAGGCAACATGCTCCAGCACCAAGGAAACAGGATTGTTAATCACAATGCCAAGGAGACGTGCAACGCAAGAGGATTGTAAAAATGCCCAATTTTTTGCCATTGATGACCATTTATCACAGTTGTTGCTAAATACCTGAAATGAAAGATATGATGGAGAAAACACACTAAACAACGAAAAAGAGAAAAATATGAACAACGGGGAAAAAGAGCTTACAAGAGGATGATTTTCATAGTGCTGTCTTTCAAGTGTCTTGACTAGAACACTGACATCTTTGGATTTTCCCTGCCTCCAAGTGGCATGCATCATATTCAGCATGCTACCTGACTGATCTACGTAGCGGCCTGAAATATATCCCTCAGTAAATTTAAATGTCCCATTTATAAAATTAATACTTTAGATAAGGTTTGTATGGGATCTTACTCTTGGATACACGGATGGTGCGGAAGTCGATCACCAGTGGGGCTGATGAGAGACGTTTTGAGTCATCATCCTGTGAGGAATCCTTTCTGCAGAGAAGTAGCATCGATGTTTCTGAACAAAAAGACACAAAAACAATAGAAAACTATGGAAAAGAGAAGGAGAAAAAATTGAGGCAACAGCTCACAACTCACCAAACTCTGAGGGTGGTAGACATTCCTTCAGCCAAATATTGGATCCAGGGGCACGATGAGTTTTTATTAGTTCTTGCAGAGAAGAATAAGAACTATTGTCATGTTCTAAAATAAAAATACTTTGACGTCCACCTTCTTCATCAATGTGGTATTCTACATTTATTTTATAAGACTTTGCTTTTAGTTTTGGCTTGTCTTTGGTGCTGCAAGTTAAAAATATAATTAAGTTAAGAAGAAATGCATTTGGATTTCAGCTCTTATGCATTACTCACCCACTGTCATAACAAACATCTAAGAAATATACATCATAATCTGATTCACTTTCTCTCAAAAGGAAGCAGCCTGGGTCATTGTCTCGCTTTTCTTTCAACTTTGTGTAAGAAAACTCCATTCTGTAGAGAAGTCCAAAAATGAATTAAATGTTGCATTACCATTTCCAATAATAATGTTAAAACTTTTGCATGTGGCTTACCCAACAGGCCCATGGCAACTTGTTGACTGAAGTCTTTGAAGTGATGGTGTCCGCACTTCTTTGCACAAGTTAAATGTCCAGTTTGTCATCAGGCGATAGTAACCATCTAGCAAACTCACAAAAGATATCATTATGGAAATACAGGGAAATTTCATATGAGATGGTATGCCATTCTTTCTTGATATTTCTACTGTATTGTCAAACTTCACAGCCACATAACATAGATCTTCAATGCTGCATAGATGCACCCACTAGAATGAGAAAATGAAAATTTATTAGAAAAAAATTTATTACTTGCACAAAAACAATTTGAAGCGCAACTTACATCCTTTTTCCCATCAGGTTTCACTTGAATACCTGGACATTGCTCATTAAAAGGATCTACTCGCACAGATAGTGAACGAATTTCACTACCATCACCAGGAAGAACAGTGAACTCCTCTGTTAGGTAAGAGGGTGCCATCTCTCTGAACTGCTCAATCCATCTGCGTTTAATGTACACAGATTCCAGCTTGTGCTCTTCTATCCTACAGAGATTTTCTCGGATAGGCTTTTTTAAGAATATGGAATGATGGTTTTGAACTTCTTTCGGAAAGAACCTTTTGTAATCTTGTACAACTGCTGATATCTCTACTCCTTTCTCTACCTTGTAGAGGTACATGTCAGTGATTGCTAGTCCGAGAGCCTCCTTCTTCTGGTCTCTTTTCTTGAATGAAATATCAGGAACCTCTCCATCGACAAAATCTTTTCGAGCTTGATGAAAGAAATAGTTGTATGCACCCACATCAATAGCTTCCAGACGTTCAGGTTGTGGAACTTTGAATCTCACACGAAAAACGAAAGCATTCGATTTAAGTAGGGAGAGTAGAATATTTGGACCAAGAAAAACATTCTTGTCAGGTAAGCGAAGAGCAAACAGATATCTTGCCACAGGACCAATGTTGAGATCTTTAGAAATTTTGATGCATACATCTTCTGCAGTAGTGGTGTCATCAATACTGACTTTAATTGGTTCCTCTTTCACTGCAGTATGAACGAGTAGGGTACTCTTGCCGTTTACCACAACCATCTTTCTGCATTACCAAAATAATGGTCACCAACAGGTTATCTCCTTGTCAAGTCAGCAGATAAGGACCTTGTGCAGGCACCCAACCGAAAACAACTTTAACACCTCACATTTTTGCAAGCCGTCTTCAGAGCCATGAGCCCACATATGCAGTCACACCGATGACACAATTTCAAACATTGTCTCGCGACGCAAAAGCCTGCAAGACTCAAAAGTAAACACCGGAATGGCTCTGCTCTAGAGCGTAGCGTCTGCTGCTGACCTGCTGACTTGTGCCTAAGTGGGCCGCGTCCGAACGGGTCTGACATTAGATTCGGGGAAGGGGGTGTCTTCACAGAAACTTCCCAGATAGAATGCGGATCAAAAAACAGTGGGAAACTCAAATCCTCCGCCCATTTTCCTTTCAATTCATGAACTATCGAGGCAGAGGCAGCGGCGAAGGGTTACTCGTTCCCGCAGGGATGTCCTGAAAGCGATTCGAACGCGCTCCACGAGCTCCGCTACGGTGATGCCACCTGGCGGCCGCCGGCGACAACACCAGAGCGCGGAGTATCGCCGCCGGCTCTGTCAACCGGTACCAGGTTTCCGCGAGTATTTTAAAGCCGGCAGTATCTCCGTCGCGAAGAGCTTTCCTGACGTGTGAAGAAAGCGCACCCTGAGGCACCAAAAGTCTATTCAAGCGGAGTCATGCCCAGGTTCCCGCATAGAGTGCAAGGCAAGCTTAGCTCTCGCTGACGGCTACGCATCGGCGGACAACAAAACCTTTCAGCACGTTCGTCATATTTGTCTTTGAAAGTTATACTTTCTATTTTCTCGTGAAGGTTACTCATCGGGTAACCGAAAAATCCCGTCTAAACGTAACATTCAAATGTGAATGCTCTCGCCGTCGTTCACATTCTTTTAAAGTTTTGCTCGTGTCACCGGTCACCTCACCGTAGGCCTGTTCTAGAGTCCCAAGGTACGAAATTATAAGATTGGAAAGCAGAATTTATCAAATAGTATTTTATTATAAAAACACATAAGATTACTGATGACATGATGAGTTCTAACAAGGTCAGGGCACAGCTCTGCAATTGCGCGAACCTTGATAATATGGCAAATGAAGCGTGATGAACGATGATGATGAAGTGATGACGATGATGATGACGATGATGACGATTTGGACGGCGGTCCTTATGAGCTAACCGGAGATGGTTCCCGGTGAACGTTGGAACGTTGACAGCGTTTAAGTTAACTTAATTCCAGATCCTAACTCCTTTCTGTACAAGCAGCTTTTTTTTTCCTTTTACAATTTTTCCTTAAAAAATTCAGGCCAATGCCACACGACAACCTCCGGGAGGGAGAGTGTCGAGCACGCGACACTTCCTCACGGGGAGAGGTATAAATTATAAATTAATGAAAGGCTGTAACACAATTTTAACCTCGCAAGCCGCCAGGCAGCGCTCCCCAGCGTCCACGCGACAGCGCGACGGGGACGCGCGTGTTTTGAGCAAAGTGGAGAAATGGGCCGAGGAAGGAAAGGGAGAGAGAGAGACAGAGGAGCGGCTTGCTTCCGGAGGCGAAGGAATCGGGCGGGAAAGTGTCTGATCGAGACATCGAGACTAGATTCGACTTCTCTCGCTGATCCCACTCGACGATTCAACTGGTTCACGGAGTGGTTCACGGAGTGGTTGTCAGCAGGGGGCACCCCGGCGACGGCGGCGACGGCGGCGACCCCTGGCGACCCCCGGTCCGTCACTCCGTCACGAGGACGTGGACGTCCGGGCGTAGCCCGAGCTGATGGCGACCTGGGGCACCTCCTGGCCGGCGTCCTGGCTGGCGGCGGGGGACGCCCTGAAGAGCGCCGTCACGGGGTCCGACGCGGCCGCGTCCATGTCGCCGACGGCGTCCTCGGCGGCGGCGGCGGCGTCGTCAGCGCGCCGCTGGAAGAAGCCTTCTGGAGGGGAGACGCGCACCTCCTGGAAGAAGCACGCCGTCAAGCACACTGACAAAACACCGAAGCGCGCTGCTCAGTGGGCCAGAGGACCGGTGGAGGCGGCCAAAAGTCTACGTACGTTTTGAGCTCCAGAGTCGAACTCGAACTGAACGTGTGACCCCACCAATGGATTCCTCGTTCAAAGAGCAATCCATTGGTGGGGTCACACGTTCGGTTCGAGTCCCATTTAGCGGTCCTGCACTCACCTGTCGCTCCGAGGCCTCGGCCTTGGCCTCCGACGACGCGGCCTCGCCCTCCACGTCCACGTTCTCCAGGTCCTGGCTCAGCGCGTTGCTCTCGGCCACCTCCACGAAGGACGAGCTCAGCTCGCCCGTGAGCCGCGACACCTCGTCGGAGCTGGCGTCGTACATGAAGATCTCCTTGTCGCGCTGCGCGTCCGCGTCAGCGGTGGGGCTGCAACAGGGAGGGCGAAGTTAGACTGACAGACAGACAGGCAGGCAGACAGGACAGACACAACAGACAGACAGACAGACAGACAGACAGACAGACAGACAGACAGACAGACAGACAGACGCGCTGCGGGTCCTCTACCCTGCCAGGCATTCCAGCCACGCTGGACAGTCGCGCCTCTTTCTCCGTTTATTGTTCTTCCTTCCTTCCGCCGTTTCCGGGTTGGCGCCCCGCCCCGCCCCGCCCCGCCCCGCGACGCCACGCCGCGAAGAGGCTCGTGAGGACTGCGTCCAGGCTGTGCGTCTCGCCGTCTCCCTCCCTCGCAGACGCCGGACGAACGGGCGGACACCTCTCTCCGATTGCGAGCGGGGCGGGGCGGGGCGCCATTGGATTTCGTAAAGCCCCTCATTACACGGATCCGTCACGGTGTGCTTCGCTGCTCCGCTGTTTCGCGCGCCGACCTTTAGAGAATCATCCTCCAAAAGTTCCCGTTCTTTATAACGGCAGGCCGCCTCGCCTTCTTGTTACCCTTTTTCTTCAAACACTCTTCTTCTTCTTCTTTTTTTTCCAACGCGTCTTCATTAGCTCACGGAGTTCCCCTCTGCTGGATTTCCCATTCAATCTCCGCGGAGAGAGCCGGACTGACAGACCCTAGTTTTAAGTGGCCTTTATGCTCCATTATGCAGGTGCAGGCCTGCACTGCAGGGCGCAGGACTCTGGCTCGCCGAGCTCGAACGGTCGTCGAGACGGTCTCGAGACGCGCGAGCGACGCACATGGGCAGACGCCGGTGGAGGCGGCCAAAATTAGACGCGTTTGAGCTCCAGAGTCGCTAAATGGGACTGACGAACGTGGCCCACCAATGGCTGCTCACCGAACGAGGAATCCATTGGGGGGTCACAGTTCGGTCGAGCCTTAGCACTCTGGAGCTCAAACGCGTCTAGAGTTTTGGCCGCCTCCACCGGCTTCTGGCCCACTGTGCGACGCGGTGACTCCAAGCGACTCGGCGAAGCGCCTCATTTTTCTAGACTCGAGAAATCTAGAATCTATAGTGGTCTGCAGACGGTAATGGTGCACATGAGCCTCTCTTTCGTTTCGACACCGAGACCGAGCGGCATCGGGATCAGACTCGGTGGCAGCAGGTGGCGTGATGCGTCAAGACTGGGAGGTCCGCGACACACACACACACTCGCATCTCTCTCTCTCTCTCTCACACACACACACTCTCCAGTCACGATGACGCTTCGCGATACCTACCGCGGCTCGGTTTCGCTATAGAAGCTCTCCAGACCTCCAGACACACACACTGGGAGAGGGCCGAGTAATAACTCTCTAATGGAGTCTCTAATTTGGAGCGTTACGCCACGCTCGCGAAGGGAGCCAAGGGAACCCACCTCGTCACCAGCAGGATGACGGACTGCTTGGCCAGGGGCTTCTGGCGCTCCTGCTGCAGCCAGAGGCGGTAGTTCTCCTGCGTGGGCGTGCGCACCAGCTTCTTGAGGGCGTCGCCCGCCACGAAGCGGACGCCGTGCACCTCGACGGCGCGGCCCACGCGGTCGCCGGCGTCGTCGTCGGCCGCCTGCAGGAAGTCGTAGTCCACGGGGGCCAGCACCACCACGGAGGTGACGTTGCGGCCGCGCAGCAGCGGCGCGTCGGGCAGCGGGAAGGCGGCGCCGGAGATCTGCGTAAGACAGTCACGGTCAGCGGCGCCACGCAGGCAGACCGACGCACAGTGGGCCAGAAGACCGGCGCGGGCGGCCAACTCTGGACGCGTTTTGAGCTCCAGAGTCGCTGAATGGGACTCGAACCAAACGTGTGACCCCACCAATGGATTGCTCTCCGAACGAGGAATCCATTGGTGGGGTCACACGTTCGATTCGAGTCCTGTTTAGCGAATCTGGAGCTCAAAACGCGTCTAGAGTGTTGTCCGCCTCCACCGGTCTGCAGGTCCACTGTTTGGAGGTGCGGGGGTTGGTAGTACCTTGAGCGGCAGGTAGCGGTTGTAGCGGTTGTCGTTGAGGACGACGGGGTCGTTGAGCACGGCCGCGTCCTTCTTCAGGTACTGGTCGGCCACTTGCTGGCCCTCGGCGGTGGCGGGGTCGTACCGCACCACCTTCATCTCGACGTTGGAGGCCTGCGGGACGGTGGCCGGCTCCTGCACCACCTCGTCGATGTCCGAGGCGGAGGGCTCGGCGTCGACGGGCTCGGCGTCGACGGGCTCGCGGGGCTGGAACTGCGGTGGCGGCGCCACCACGGAGGCCACGGGCTCGGACGCGGAGGCCTGGCCGCCGTTGGCGTAGAAGTTCTCGAGCGCGTGCTGCGGCAGCGCGTCGATGGACGTGTCGCCGATCTTGTCGTAGTCCAGGATCTGGATGTCGGCGTTGCCCAGGATGCCGGAGGCGATGAGCTGCTCGCGGATGTCATCGGGGACCTCGTCGGGCAGCTCCGCCAGCTTCTTGGTCAAGTCGACCTTGGGCTCCTCGGTGGTGGGCTGCGCGGACGGCGCCGGCTCCTCCGTGGTGGTGGTGGTCGTCGTGGTGGGCCTGGGCGTCGGCCTCGGGGACGGCCGCGGGGACGGCGTGGTCGAGCTGGGCGTCAGCGAGAACGAAGGCGGCGGCGACGGCGTCGCGAAGTTGTTCCCGGCGGACGACCCCGAGTAGCTGGGCGTGGACGACGAGAAGGTGACGCGGGGGCCGTCCTGGTCGCTGTTGAGCACCTGCACGCTGTGGTGCGGCTGTTGCTGCTGGTGGTGTTGCTGCTGGTGGTGTTGCTGCTGTTGCTGCTGCTGGCTGTGAGTGACCGAGTGCGACAGTGTCTGCGTCTGACCGAAGGGCCCCTGGTTCAGCAGCACGTGCTCCTCGGACTGCGGGATGGACTTGATGATCTCGGCGCCGAGCAGCGTCTCGCGTTGGGACTGCTGGCCCTGGGAGGGCGCGAAGTGTTGCTGCTCTTGTTGTTGCTGCTGTTGTTGTTGTTGCTGCTGCTGCTGTTGTTGCTGCTGCTGCTGAAGCAGGGCCTGCTGCTTGAGCTGCTGCTCGCGGTACAGCTGCTGCTGGCTGGGCTGCTGCGGCGTGAAGGCCTGCTGCTGCGGCTGGGGCTGCTGTTGGTGGGGAGCAAAGGACTGCTGCTGCTGCGGTGCGAACGACGGCTGCGGCTGCTGTTGGCTGAACTGCTGCTGCGGGGCGGCGAACTGGCCGTGCTGGGCGTGCTGGGCGTGCTGCGGCGCGAAGTGCGCCTGGCCGCGGTGCTGCTGCTCCTGCTGCTGGCGAAGCAGGGCCTGCTGCTGCTGCTGCGCCAGTACCTGCTGCTGGTGCTGCTCGCGCAGGACCTGGTGCGGCTGCGGCTGGAAGGTGTTCCTTGGCGGCTGCTGGTGCTGCTGGTGCTGGAAGGTGGGCCTGGAGGGGTGCTGCGTGCTGGGCACGAACTGCGGCTGCGGGGGCGGCCGGCTGGGGGCGGCCGGTGAGGGCGGCTGCGGCTGCGGGAAGTAGTTGGGCCGGAAGCTGTCGTGCTGGAAGGGCCGCTGCGGCTTGTCGCCGGGGGCGGGCCGGGGGCGGAACTGCTCCTGCCCCCCGAAGGGCGGCGGGGGCGGCGCGAAGGGCGGGTAGCGCGGGTTCTGCAGCGCGTCCAGGCTGGGCTGCGGCCGCAGGAAGGCGGGTTGGTGCTGCTGCTTCTGCGGGGGCGGCGGCGGCGGACCGCGGAGCGGGCCCGGGGGTGGCGGCGGCGGTCCGAACTGGCCGCGGTACGGCGGGAAGTCCTGGTGGTAGCGACCCTGCTGGAAGTGCTGGTGGCCGGGCTGGTGGCCGGGCGGCGGTGGCGGCGGGTGTTGCAGAGGGGCCTGCGCGGGCGGGGCCTGCGAGCAAATCCATGTCAATTGGCCATTTTACAATTTTAGCTTCAAACCATGAGGAGAACCAAAAATTCCGTTCGGTGTTGGCAGACCCTAGTGTAAGAGAAGGACGCGGATAGGTCACTGCGGACGAGGGTCCGGAGCGGTCCAACCGTAAATCAGTGAGAGTGAGAGAGAGGAGCAGGCAAGGCAGTCCTAACTGGCGCGGGGCAGCCAAAGGCTTGGCCAAAGGTCAGCAGGACCTGGATCAAGCTGTCCGACGCGTTCAGTGGCGCCTCGCGCTCCGGGAGGGCGAGCTCTCTCTCTCTCTCTCTCTCTCCCTCTCTCTCTCTCTCTCTCTCTCTCTCTCTCTCTTCTTCTCCCTCTCCCTCTCTCTCTCCCTCTCTCTCCTCTCTCTCTCTCTCTCTCTCTCTCTCTCTCTCTCTCCCTCTCTCTCGCTCACCGAGTTGAAGCCGGTCTGCTGCAGGTGCGGTGCGGGCTGCTGCTGGCTGCGCTTGATGTGGTGCACGTTCTCGGCGTTGTCGGCCTGCTCCGGGAAGCGGATGGCCGGGAAGGCAGCGACGGGCTGCTGCGCGGACTCGCCCTCCTCGTGGCCGTCCTGCTTGTCGTGCTTGTCGTCGGCGCCGTGCTGCGTGTGCGCCGAGGGCCGTGCGTGCGCCTCGTCGTCGTGGGGCCCGCCGAACGTGACGCGCAGCTTGCCCTCGGAGCCCTGCGCGGGGTGCGCCAGCTCCGAGTCGGGGTGGATGATGGCGCGCAGCGTGGTGGTCTGGCGCGGCGCCGCCGGCGTCACGGCCTCCTCGTAGTGCTGCGGCGGCGAAGGCGGACAGTCAGTATTACGCGTGGCGCAGGACAGGCGGCCGAAACTCTAGACGCGTTTTGAGCTCCAGAGTCGCTGAACAGGTCTCGAATCGACCGTGTGACCCCACCAATGGATTGCTCGTGCGGAGAGCAATCCATTGATGGGGTCACACGTTCGTTTCGTCCCATTTAGCGACTCTGGAGCTCAAAACGCGTCTGGAGTTTTGGCCGCCTCCACCGGTCTTCCGGCCCACCGTTACCTGGTGCTGCTGCTGGCCGTGCTCCTCCTCCTCCTCCGGCGGCGGCGCGGGCGTGAGCGCGGGGATGGGGTCGTCGAACACGACGCCGCTGTTGCCGTCCTTGCCGTATTCGCCGGAGCCCGTCTGCTTGTACTTGACGTAGAACACGTGCACGGGCTCGCGGGTCGGCTTCTTGGGCGCCAGCACGGGCAGCGGCGGCGGCGCGGGCAGGCTCTCGTTCGACTCCTGGAACGACAGTGAGTTCAAATACCGGGGCACTTTGAGCGTTTTGAGCTCCAGAGTCGCTGGGACTCGAAACGAACGTGTGGCCCCACCAGGCTTTCCGAACGAGGAATCCATTGGTGGGGTCACACGCTCAATTCGAGTCCTGTTTAGCGACTCTGGAGCTCAAAACGCGTTCAGAGTTGCGGCCACCGGCGCCGGGTTTCTGGCAAATCCACTTGGTTACCTTGATGATGATCTCGATGATGGGCTCGGGGTACTCGTGGTGCTCGGGCGCGGGGCCGTACTCCTCGTAGGGCGGCGGCGGCGCGCCGTAGGCCCCGGCATCACGCCTGTTCTTGGCGCCGCGGCCCTGGTGGCCCTGGTGGCCCTGGCCGAGGTGGAGGTGGCCGACGGCGGCGTGGGGCGCCACGGCGTGCGCCACGGCGTGGCGGCGCTGTGTCGAGTGCCTGGCCATGTGGTACAGCGGGTCCCGCTGCGAGTACGGCACCATGGGCTCCATGGACACGGCGTAGGGCGGCGTGGCCCCCGCCGCCGCGGCCTCCTTGTTCACGGCCAGCGCCGAGCCCCACGACAGCGCGCACAGCGCGGCCTGCAGCACGACAAGAAGCACAGTCAGGACGAGGCAGCCCGGCACGGCACTCAGGATCCAGAGGTGGTCCGGGACGTCCGAGCGAGCATCGCTCTGTCTACCGGGCGTTGCGCAGAGGTGCGAGGGAGACAGAGCGACGAAGCGATCAATCGGCAGGACGCACAGTGGGCCAGAAGACCGGTGGAGGCGGACGAAACTGACACGTTTTGCTCTCCTGATTCGCTAAACTGGACTCGAACCGAACGTGTGACCCCACCAATGGATTCCTCGTTCGGAGAGCAGTCCGTTGGTGGGGTCACTCGTGTCTAGAGTTTCGTCCACCTCCAACGGTCTTCTGGCAAATCCACTGTGGGACGGGGTGCTGGGCGTGCAGGACGTCCCGGAGGGTTATGCAGCCACAAAACACCTGCACTGCAAGGACGAGCGTGGCGCCTGGCGAGCGAGGCACCGCAGCGCCGCGCTAGGCGCGCTACCAACACGGCCAAGGCAATCACTGTCATCTGCAAGTTGTGGCCCGCCCCGCCACACCTTTACAACACCTTTTCCCCGCCGGACAATGAGCTCGCGGCCCAAATTGTCCGGCCTGCCTGTAACGCCTCTAGAACACCCCTGGTACGAGCGAGCGGCCGCGGAGCCGAGGACGCGGGTTCGAGCCCCACCGGGGGTCAATCATTTTCTTGTTTCGGAGCAGCGCCGCGAAGAAAGCGGTGGTAGTAAAAAAAAGGAGGGGGGAAGGTGAAGTCATATCACGCGGCGTGTGCTATCGTCGTGGGAAACGGGCCGTCATTGCAGAGCCCTCGGCAGAGCCGGCATTTCCAGTGGCGAAAAAAGAGGAGTTGTAAAAAACGAGAGGCAGTGCCCCTGCGAGATAGTAAACGGCACGGCTTACACTGCGAACGCACCCACACCACAAACACACACACACACACACACACACACACACCGAATTATCATGAACCTCTTAATTAGCTTCCCAGCTAGTTTGAGTGAGAGTGCATATGGGTGTGTGTGTGGCTTACCGCCTGCTGCGCACACCTGTAATTTTGTCGCTGGGAAATAATCTTCGATGCAAACAAACACCCTTTCTCCCGTTTGTGTGTGTGTGTGTCTGTGTGTGCGTGCGCGTGTGTGTGAAAATCGCTTTGCGTTCCGAAATACTACGTAACGTGTTCGTCGTGAAAATACAGCTGCGAATCCATTTGAATCAATTTGTTATTTTCTGCTGTTTTTTTTTGCGAGCGGAATGTTGGTTTATGCTAGCAAAGTCCGCGTTGGAGAGAGAAAGAGTGCGAGAGAGAGAGAAGCTCTCGCCCTTTCCCCTGTTATACGATAGTGTGGTGATTTACGGGCGTTGGCCTGGTCAGGTCGACTTGATGAGTCACCTCGGCCACTGGTGTTGTTGTTGTTGTTATTGTTTTTGTTGTTGTCGTGGCGGTGGCGGTGATCGCGGTGGACTTTCGCCGCGAGCCCGGTAGCTTCCTTCCTTCCCGGCGGCAAGATAGTGAGGTGTCAAGTCCCGGCTAGTCTTGGCGGCAACGAGGGGGAAGCAATTTGAGAGTCTCGCTTGAAAGAGAGGGCTCGCGAGTGAAAAAGTGCCTTTGAAAACTTGTAAAACCTCCGAGTTTCATGAGCGAGCAAAGGACGCTCATCTGAAGAGAGGCGAACCGAAAGTGGCGTGGACTGAACCCCTGGCAGGGCAGGCAGCTAGCCTGCTCGCACGTCCCACGGTTGCCTATCCCGAAGGCGGCAAAAGAAACCCCCATCAAAGTCAGCAGCAAAAGGCACTCGCTTTGCTTCGGAGAAGACTGCCACTTGTAATAACATAATCCAGCCCTCCACTGGACTGTGTCCAGGCAGACGGACGGACAGACAGACAGACGGACAGACAGACAGACAGACAGACAGACGGACAGACAGACAGACGGCAATCGAATCAGCTGGGCAGGTGCTAGACCGTAGCTTCACGGTCAGTTCACCGCGAGTGGCTCGCTGACCGAGTCGCTGACCACCGCCAGACCAGCCATGGAATCAGTAAATGCCGCGCAGAGGGCTGCAGTGCGAGAGAGAGAGAGAGAGAGAGAGAGAGAGAGAGAGAGAGAGAGAGAGAGAGAGAGAGAGAGAGAGAGAGAGAGAGAGAGAGAGAGAGAGAGACTGGCTCCGCTATCGCCACGCAATTCCAGCGAATTAGGAGTGGGGCATTTGCAAGGCGTCTAGCGGCCAGCGGCGCGCGCCAGCAGTGCGCCAACAGTGCGCCGCCAACCCGCAGGAGCCCAGGCCCTACCCAGGCCTTGCCGCGCTACAACAATAGTGATGACATCGGCTGGGATGCGACGCTGTGGCGCGATACCCGTGGGCCCCGCCGGAGCCCCGCGGTGGAGCAGGGAGTTCCTGGCGGAGTTCCTGGGGGACACAATGGCGGCCACCACCAGGAACAGAGGCACGCCGCCGCACAGTGGATTTGCCAGAAGACCGGTGGAGGTGGTCAAAATCCCGGACGCGTTTTGAGCTCCAGAGTCGCTAAATGGGACTCGAACCGAACGTGTGACCCCACCAATGGATTCCTCGTTCGGAGAGCAATCCATTGGTGGGGTCACACGTTCGGTTCGAGTCCCATTTAGCGACTCTGGAGCTCGAAACGCGTCTGCGTTTTGACCGCCCCCACCGGTCTTCTGGCCCACTGTGCACTGACGGTCGACGAGGACCCTAAAAAAGGCACGCGGGCTGCTCGCTGGCGGCGGTCGACGGGGACGTGCTGCGGACTCGGGGACGACGTGGGCTGGGTAATGAGCGTGAGATGACGAAAACGCGAGGCACTCGGAAGAAAGAGGAGGACGCATCGGTTCCCACGAGTGAGAGGTGGTGGCCGAGGCCCCCGGCCCGCGGCCCCCGGCCCGCGGCCCCCGGCCCGGGGGACGGACGGAGGTGCCACCAGCAACAAGAAAGCCCTCAGGCCGGCCATTTTTCTCACTTTCACATAACACCGCGGCGCGGGGCCGCGCAGAGCTGCGTACGGGTTACTGCACACAATGCCTGGCGCCATGGCGGAGCCAGCCACGCCGCGCCAGGCAATCGGCGCGTTCATTCAAATCACGTGCGTGACCCCGCAGCCTCGCCGGCGGCGTCCTCACACAGTGGGCCAGAAGCTGGTGGGGGCGGTCAAATCCCGGACGCGTTTTGAGCTCCAGAGTCGCTAAATGGAACTCGAACCGAACTTGTGACCCCACCTATGGATTACGCTCCCAACGAGGAATCCATTGGTGGGGTCACACGTTCGGTTCGAGTCCCATTTAGCGACTCTGGAGCTCAAAACGCGTCTAGAGTTTTAGCCGCCCCCAACGGTCTTCCGGCCCACTGTGCTGTAGCGTCGTCGGCGTCCTCCCAGCCGACCTGCCGGCTGGATACCCACAGGGATCATCAGGGAAGTCCACTTTGGGAAGCGGCACCCGGTAAGGGAGGCTGCTGACCACTGGAAAAAGAGGAAAGGGGGGGGGACGGGTTGCGCGTGTGCCGAGCCACCGCTTCCCGATCCAGCGGCCCGCAGCACGCCACGCCGCGCTCCGGGCGACGTTTAGAAACACGGCTCCCTTGTCGTACACTACACTCTGAAAACAGTCCTGGTTTTCCATGTTTTTCTGGTGGGGTGTCCACGGGTCAGCCCTCGCGGCCCGCCAGTGTTTTGGCAGAACCACACGCCGGCGTCCCGTTAGAGAAGCGTGTTTCCGCGGCATCGATTTACTCGATCACTCGCGGACGGTCCCCGGGGACGAGTTTTCGGATCCCCGACCCGCCCAGTGAGCTTGTCGACACACCGCAAAAACACACGCCGGCGCGCCAAATTTCAACTCTCAAAGCAGACTACATCGCCAGGCGGATCGTCAGGATCCTCCCGGGTGAAACAACTCAGTTTGAAACTCGATTTTGTTTTACTTTGTCCATCGCACGCATGGTGCTTTTAATACACTCGCATGCGAGATACGGGCGCTTGAAATTGTTTGGTCGGTGTTACGTGATTTGTGGCCGAGTGAGGCCGGCTCGGCGTGGCGCGGCCAAGCAAGGGCTAAGGCGGCAAGCCAACCACTACACTGCCTCGCTGCCTCGCTGCGCCGAGGAAAAAGTTGTCGAATCGGGGGAGCTTTACTCGCCTCACTGCCGGCCAAGAGGACCAACTGTCTGGAAGCGAGTCGCTTTTCGCGCCCTTTTTCGGCGGGGAAGACGACGACGAAGAAGACGAAGAAGAAGAAGGCGAAGAAGAAGAAGAAGAAGAAGAAGAAGAAGAAGAAGAAGAAGAAGAAGAAGAAGAAAAAGAAGAAGAAGAAGACGACGACGACGACGAAGAAGAAGAAGACGAAGAAGAAGTGTTTTCTTTTTGGACCCAGAGCGCATGCAGGTGCCAAGGCTGCCATTTCTACACACGTGCACCTCGTGTTGTGTTCGTTCAGTTCGCTGAAGTGGTCGCTCGATTGTGGGAAACATTGACCGTGTAGCACCGTCGTGTACACTACGAGCGACACATTTGCACACAAACAGGGTGCGTGCACCAACACACACACACACACACACACACACACACACACACACACACACAAAAGTTACAGCGCGAATGCAGCACGGCTCCTGGAATAAGCGACATGACTAATATGACGTTCAATCAATACTTTCTCTTCTCCCAGCGTAATAAGGATATGGACAATTGTTACGTCACGGAGACTCGTCTGCCACCGAGGGCTGCACCAGCGCCACGCGCCGCGCACAGTGGGCCAGACGACCGGTGGAGGCGGCCAAAACTCCAGACGCGTTTTCAGGTGCAGAGTCGCTAAATGGGACTCGAACCGAACGTGTGACCCCACCAATGCACAGTGGGTCAAAACGGTCAAAAGTGCGAAAAAAATATTTTATTATTGAAATCGACTCAGTTCGACCCAAAAAGACTACCAACCAAGTATTTTGAGGTTTGGGCCAAAAATAGCGATGTAGGGGGTCAAAATCTAAAGTTACTATCC